TTACACCTCATTATGTGCGAGTAAATGTCATCAAGGAAGAGTATATATTGGGAACTGACTTCATACATGGATGGATGTGTGGTTAAGTCTATGATCAGAACTCCACGTGCACTAGAATAATGTCTACGAAAAGTTTAACTTCTTATGACAACAAAGAGTGTACCACGACAAAGTGAAATACTCATACTAGGATTTATCAGAAATAAATTTACATATATAATTGGGCCATAATAGAAGCAAACACTCCACTGTGTCACAGTGGATTAATGGTTGGTAGAACTCTTGTGGATCTAAAGAATAAAGATGTCATTATTAAAGCTATGGACAGAGAGAACCATAAAATTCAAGTGAAGTGTGAATAGGACATTGCAAGATGTGAAACTGTACAGGTAGTATTTCCACATCAAAGAACATCAGAAGTAGTCACCTTCAAGGCAACATGCAGGAAGTCTGAAGGTCAAATTATTATAACAACTTACCACTTTTCTAGCAAGAGCTATACAAGTTGAACCGTGGAGATCTCTCAGCTGACCAATACCATAGATTACGCAACTTTCTCATGGAATAAAGATAATTTCTCCAGTGGGCCTCATGACAGACTAGTAAAATTAAATCTCATGAGATTGATACTAGAAATTCAGCCCCAATACAACAGTTAGTCAGACAACTCCCACCTGTAAAACAGCCCAACGTTTTCAATGAGATAGAAGCCATAAAGGTACAAGGAGAGATAAAACCAAGTACTAGTCCTCGGGAATTACCTATTATATTTGTGAAGAAGGGACTACCAGAAGGTAAATTAAACTTAAAAAAAAGTTCAGAAACTTGAAAATGTCTTTGGTACTTTGGTAATTAATAACGAAATTACAACATTCTTACTTTCTTCTGCAATAGATTCATTTCTTTTTTTTCAGAAATACCATAAAAAGTGAGTATATTGAAATACAATAAATCATGAAGTTCACTTACTTTGCTTTTTTTTTTAATTTCGCACAAAGCTACACGAGGGCTATCTGCACTAGCTATTCCTAATTTAGCAGTGTAAGACTAGAGGGAAGGCAGCTAGTCATCACCACCCACCGCCACCTCTTTTACCAACGAATAGAAATTATTAAAATTCCATACCTAACATTGATTTAAAGTGCTCTTAACTTCTTCAGCAAGTATGATGACTTTCCATCGTTACCTTTCACATAATGCAGTGGGAATGACATGAAACAAAACATTTCAGATTAATATAAAATCATCAATCCTAACTTCTTGTGATGCATAAATCATCTGTGTTTAATGCTGTAATTTTTTTATAGTAATTGAATTTGTTTGGTGAACTTTAAATATGTAACTTAACTTACAAGTAAAACCCCTCCCCATTTCCTAAAAATTTCAGCTACTCAACACAATTCAACTTCTTGCTACCAATTATAAAAGATTACATTTTTAGTTGAACATGTTTTTATAGAGTTAAAAAAAACAAAAAAAACTAATAAATGCTTAGTGAAGAAGTTTAAATTTATAACAATAGTGATGATAGTAGAAAAATATTTGTAACGTTGTAGAAAAAAAACAACTAAAAATATGCTTACTATTTTTTTTTCTTTAGTTTTTGAACACTACTCAACAAAAAAAATTCACAAAAAAGAAAACCAAAAATTACATATGCAAGAATGACTATGCTAGTTTAATGAATAATATCAACTGAATAGAAGCAATTAATATACAACTTTCTACTGACTATACATCATAAATATTGAAGGACCTAAAAATAAGGAAAATTATAATGTTATACGTTAATTATTGTGATTAAATAAATATACAGAACTTCCACTCTGTGGTTACAAAGGAAGTACAATTAAATGAGCACACACAAAAAAAGAAGCAGTTTTTCATTTTATTTATATTTATTTTTTGTTAGCAGGAAAAAGCTATTATGCTTCACAACTAGCAACAATGTATTAAAGGTGACTTATGTAAATAGGTAAAACACTGGCTTTAGTTAATACAAAATGGTAAGAATCTGAGCAATCTACCTGATTTAAAGGAAGACGGGTATCTCAGAATAATTTTCATCTGTGTTTATATACATTTAAATAAAGGAAGACATTAAATAAGAACAATTTTTTAAAATTATTTTGTGATACTTCTTTAAGTGGTTTTTAGAATCTCAAGTAAAATATCACTAATTAATTTATAAAAGATTGTAGTTCTGCCACTGCTTAATACCTTATCCATGTTTTTAACTTTCCACCAGGTATGAAAACAATTGATTATTTAACAAACTGAATTATCAGTTCAGTAGTATAGTCACATACAAAACAAAAATGCATAATTTCATAATTGTTCCACCCCATTCAGGTTTGTTAAAGGTATTTCAAGAAATGTCAAAAAAGCAACAATCACTAAGTAACATACCATGTTCATTCTACATCAGATCTTGTTTATGGCAGTTGCCAAAGTAGTCAGTAGTGAACTCTTCTAATGTATTTAGATACTCAGTAAATAAAAAACCATTGATTCGTAACTTAACACTCCTTGTATTCTCCACCCACATGGACCTAAGACTGCTGCCACACTTCAGAAACTTACATTTGTAGATTGATTGATGGATGCACGTACATACATATGCATGCGAGTCTACTTGAAAGTGATAATATCCTTAAGCTACTCTATACAAATAATAGCAATACTAAATTATCCAGTTTGAGATTCCAAATTACACAAAAGGATAAACCTCGAAATGTTTGCAGTTGTCACGATGACTAGAAATTATCATCGCAAACATTTCAGATATCTTTAAGCTGGATGCATGTAATGAATTTGAACATTGATAACGAAATTTAAATGAAAAGCTTCCAATTCAATGAATAGGACCATTAATTAGGAATGACAGCTGACATACAAATTAACAATGCAGCTTCAATTCTAAAACAAACATACAAAAACAGATGGTGAGCTAATTGTGTTTAGACACTAACTTTTAACAACAGCACCAACTTTATATAAACATTTGAAGAAGAGTCAAAAGCTGTTAATGATGTTCAAGATATATACCAGTACTATAAAATAAACAATAAATGTGTTAAACAAAACATCAAAACGACTGAACACAAAGACATTACAAAATATAATTTGTACTGTATAACAAACCAAATCTAGGAAAATGGTACTTTACTGTGTGTTGACTTAGTGAGTTTTAGCTATAAAATAGTTTATATATATTTCACAATTTTTGTTGGAGAGATAGAACAACAAAATGCTAACAAAAAAAAAAGTATTCCAATAGATGTCGTAAGATATTGATATTGGATTAATACAAGCTACATGCATGTACATACAATAAAGGATAGGAAAAAATGATACATGTGACTGGTATTTGAATTTGTTCAATTTTCAATCTTTTGTATTTAACATCCTTTCACCTTATCTAGAGTAAACTTCATGCAAAAAAAATCAATAAAAAAAATCCATATCTTTAAGCATATAAGTTCACAAACACGTACTGTATCACACAAAACTATAGAAAGGTGAAGTATAAGTAAATAAATAAAAATATAATTATTTATTCAATATAGAAAATTTAGAAACCTTTCTGTATGCTTTAAAGTATGACTAGGATATACTGCTATTTTACAAAATAATTTGGAGAGTTGAGCAAATAAACGCATGTGGGTTACAATTTTAATTATAATTTTGATGGAATAACCTAGTGTGTTATGGGAAAAAAAAGGATCATGGTATACTGGCTTATCAGTCTCTTAAGCCATCCAAGCAGTGTGCTATTGCTAGTGGAATTGCAAACAGGATTTTAGGTTACATGTACAGAAATACTGAATAAAAGTCTAAAAAGGTTAAAATATTGTTTAGGTCATGGTTAGACCACCTTTGGAGTATTTTATTTAGTCTTAGGTTCCTTACCTTAGGAAGGACATTGAATTGTTGGAAATGATTCTGGGGAGAGCTAATAGGATGAAAAGGTTGTCATACAAGGACAAGTTAAAAATGTCCAAGAAAAGAAGAAAAGAGTTTGAGAGTATTTGATTAAGATTGAGATTGTTGAGGAAATTTATAGTGCCAATGCTTCATCTTGTCTTTTAGTTAATGGTGACAATGATAGAAAAATAACTGTCTTAGCTGAAGGTGACTCAAATTTATACTTCTTCACCCTGGTTCTAACAGGGTGTTTAGCCTTGGAAATGGATTGACTTCAGATGTCGTGGAAACAATAAATTTAAGGTATTTTAATGGAAGGCTCAATAAATATTTAAGTTTTTTTTTTTTTTCATGTTTAGTGGATGGGATGGCCCAGATGGACGAATAGGTCCCTTATTGTCCTTAAACCTTATACTATATGATAAACAAAAATTCATTATGTTTATACTATCAAATATCTATTTCAATGTATGAAATGGCCATTAAAACCTCGACCTACATCTTGAGCAAACTTTTTATAATCCCTTTGTTTTACTTTTTTTTTCTGGCTTCAAACAAGTAGTTATTTATACTTATTTTAATTATGTACTAATTTTAACTATTACATATTATCTTCATCAATTGTTATTGATGTAAAAAAAATTGACCTCTAAACTTAAAACAGTGAAATCTTTCACATATATAAAATCACAAAAAAATTATTGCAGCAGAAACCTTAATATTTCATCTTATTTCATATTCAGTTGATTAATATAATTCCAATGGTCTTTAAACACAGGACTTCACTTGCATCATTTACTTCAATAATGTATCTTTAATCTCCCTTAAAACATGTATTTGACTATTTTAAAGAAAAAATAAAAAACAGGAACTTCAATGGAAGTTTTTACATTTCACCAAGATGAATTAACATGCATGTCTTGCAGAAAATGAAGTAAAACTGATATAACTGAACTGGTACATAGACCAATTTTATGAAAAATTCTTCAGTAAAGTATTCAAGTACAATACAGAAATGATTTTTTGTTTGGGGAAAAAAAAGCTATTCCTGTTTGCTTATTTTTTGTCTCAACTACAATAATGATTTTTCTGTCACTTAACCCATATCCAAAAACAAGTTTGCCAATTTACAGCAATCTATAATTCCAATTAGAGCAGTTTTAGAAAACTTTGAGATATAAAAAAACAGATTTTTTATTAAAAAAAAAACATGCAAATGTTTTGTACAACATTCTTAAAACATTTCATTTTTTGTTTTTTATTTATAATACTGATTAGTTGTTAAGAAACACATCTTGCATCAAAACTTCTTTGTTGGCATCAAAATAGATTTAAATAATGAGGCAGCTAATCTTCCTTATTGAAATGCTAACTTCACATGGTGAGTATAAAGTCATAGAAATCTTGTCTTTTGAAATGTGAATGAACAAAAATTGCATGACTTGCGTGATATTTAACAGGTAGCTTACAATACAAGAGAAAAGGCATAACAGTTTGTTTTACAAGACATACATTGTGCAATATATTTTTTTGAAAGAAATCTATATAAGGTACACAGTACAATTTGGATTAAAACATGTAACACTTCAAATGTTTTATGCAGCAAGTCATGCAGGATGTAATACTTAGATTGTTTTTAGGACATATTACAGTGTAGTATATCAATATGTTGAAGTAAACAGCAAGTTTCAACTTAGAATATGTATATATGGCAGCAGTCTTAATAGATATACAATCATACATTTCCACAAAGCAGATGACTCTTAGCTACTGTGATGTTCATGTTCAGAACAATATTTTTTTTAACAATATTTCAACCAGAATAAAAACAAAAAATTATAAATAGAGAAAGAATAGCTACACACCTGCTTTAGTACTGAATACATTGCTTAGGCTTCACACAATATGTGAAGAAAGTATTTCTATAGTGAAGTAATACAAAAAGAAAAGCATAAAAGAAAGCATGTGTACAGAATATTAACGAGTGCTTAGATACCACCTGTTAATCTGTACGAGACGCATGAGCAGGGCGATGTTTTCTCATTACTCGAGCATATGGACCAATATCCGGATCAGTGATAAAATCATAAATAACTTTTATCCATGAATTATGTTGTGGTAAGTTTTCATAGTACTCCTTAGCAATCTGTTTCACCTAAAAATGCAATACATTTTGGTTATTAGCTGCATCCTAAAAGGTACATTCTACCTAACCTATTTTGTGTCTCTTAAATAATAAATAATTTAACCAAGATTCTACCCCTTAACAACAAAGTAATTGTTACATTTCCCTGCCTTTATACTAAACTATAAAACTCTTATTCACTTCTGTAATTTGAATTTGAATATTTTTTTGGAACAAAGTGCTCTGAGCTCTTGATCTACTTTCACAATGTATTAAGTTTTTATCTGAGAGTGCACTAGCACTATGTAGGGATGACATGGACTTCTATATCGAAGCACTACAAAAGACATTTGGATTTTCTTCTCTACAGGTCACCAGAAGCTAGATACAAAGAGCTACCTGGCATTGTTGCTCTATCTCAGGTGTATATGATGCTTTTCAGCTATCCAGAATGTCATAAGTTGAAAACCAGCAAATATCAAAACATTTATTTTTGTTCATCATCTTTCCTCAACAAGCCTAGTGCCTACTTAGTTCTAGCAGTAACTATAATTTCATCATTTCATAGAGCAAAACATGATCTTTGACTACCTATTTTATTATTATATGCAAAATTTATAAAGTTTCAGAATACACTAACCTAGTAACCCACGTATGCCATCTTATAAAGAAAGCAAACAAACAAGTATTAGGAAGGAAGGAAGGAAAGAGATAAGGAGAAAAAAAAAAGGCTGTGTGGCTGAATACAAAACTTGAAAAAAGGAACAAAACAAGGTAGGAATGGAAGTGGACATATCACTTAATTCGGCTAATGATCACATAGTAGATCAAGCTGTCAATTTTACATGGAGAATAAAATCCCAACATTACTGGTTTCTTCACGGGTAAAATAAATAGAAACAGAATTTCTAATTGTAAAATGCTACTCTATTGTAAAATTGTCATAAAAGTAGTATTCTAAAGTTAAGTAATGGAAAGGTATAATGATGAAAGCTGAGACTCAGTTGAAACACCAAACTTTCAATAGACAAAATGGAGAAGCCAGTAATGTAGGGATTTTATTCTTTATGTAAAGTTGAGAGGGCTTAACCTGCTATGTGTTCATTAACCATGTCCACTTCCATCCACATCTTGTTTGGTTCCTTTTTTCAAGTTCAGTAGCGAGCCATACATAGCTTATTTATTTAATGAAAATTGTTTTCCTCATACTTTATATTAAACCAATACAAAAGTCACATTTCATGACTGAAATGAAATATGACCAGTGAACTTTTCTCCAACAGTTTTTTTTGACACACACATACTATCACCTTTGTGGCAAAATTCTTGCTTCTTAAAATGGAGATAAGTTGAACTAGCTTATGGCCATGAAATGTAAAGATACATATCATTAAAGTTAAACTATACAGTTTTAGATAATTTTACAAAACTGATAAATACCTCAATCATTTATAAAAATTTGATTCTTACTTTTATCATACAGAATGCTTGTTTAGGGTGAATCTAAATCTAAACAGAAGCAGCTTGTGTTTCTTGTCCAAATAGCATTTATGATTCTGACAGGTTAATGAAACAGTAAACTAACTTATAAATCACACATTAATCTACAAAATCTTCCTTACTGTATCTAGTTATCACACACATCTTAGTATTATCCCTTATTTAAACATTATTATTTAAATTCTGTTTTCTATTCTCTCATATCCAGTCTACCATTTGAACTAATTTAGTCTTTTACTTAAGCTCCAAATAACTTAAGTTAAATCTCTTCCTGGAAATAGATTATATATTTCAGTGGCAGAAATATGAAATTATGTGGGTATGCAAGCAGGTGCAGTTATAGAAGTATTTAGAAAGGTTAAAAAGTGATGAAACAAACTAGTTAGATTCCAATTAAATATACTTAAGAATGAGATTAATATGTAGAGTTAATTAATTTTGACATTTCATTGTTACAGCCAATTTTGAAATAAAACTTCTTTTGAGATACCATATCTGTACGTCAGAGTTTTACTTCTCAAATTCTTTCATCATTAATCTACAACATACCTATAATATGACCACTTATTGTTGACTAAGTAGATTGCAATTGTTTTGTACCAAAAGAGCATTACTTACAGAAACCACTTGTTATAAAAAACACTTAGGGATAAAAGTTACATTACATTTTGGAAATTTCTTCATCACCTTAAAAAATATATTGACACATATGTCAATCCCATTTGCTTTAGTGACAAACAGTTCTACTGTTAAAACTGTACAACCAATGTACATGCGGGAAGTATACTTGTCATCTAGAATATTGCATGCAGTTTTAAGACAGTGAATCTGCATCTTTGGGTTACAGGAGTATTTGTACTGTAGCTTCTAATCTTAGCTTGTCCTTCCTTTCTATAGACAACCACTTAAATGTCACTTGACCCACGTGAAGTAAACTTGAGCTCTAAGTATGAATGACTCAAGTTTCAGAATGACAGTATATTCCATTATGATCACATAATGGCTCTTTGTCAAAAGAGCCAAAAATAAGTCTTATAATGTGCCAATACAAGTAGATACATGTTTTGTCACTTGCGAAATATTGAAAAAATATATAAGAAAAACATACCTCTGGTAGACGAGAACCTGGTACACTGGGAAAATCATGATGTTCCATATGGTAACCCACATTAAAGGTGATCTTGTTCAGAACACCATAATATGAGTAGGTCTCATAACCTTTTTTAAACATGTAATGTTCAGAGATGAAATGACCAGCAACTGGATGAAGCCCCATTGCCATCAAGGACCCGCCAATCATATAGAAAATAATGCGAACCCCTGAAGGTGAAACTTAAAATTACTTACTATACATAGCTTCACATTATCATGTCATTATTTTAATGAAGTAGCTTTTGTCCTCTTATATAATACAATTACTCAACTAAATATATAGTGTAAGTTATTCCAAGGAGTTGATGGTTTGTACTAGCCATATGACAAGATCTGAAGTTTTGGTCCATTAGCTTGTTCCTCTAGTAGCTGACAATTAACACATGCTTTACAAAGTCATAATATTCTACCATTTCATTTACTGAATATTACAATGCATTGTTTTATTATTTTACTTTCTATGTACTTGGCCAAGTAGCAAACTTGTTTATTTAAAAACCCTTTAAATAACTTATAAAAACAAGTTCAACATGCAAAGAAATTTAACTTGATTGCTTTATCATTACAGTAGGTAGTTAAACTTTGCAATTCTTCTCAAAAAGATAGAAGTTGTGTGCCTGAAAAATGACAGTAAGTGGTTGGTTAACATTGTAATATTTCTATGAAAACAAAAAAAAAATAACTGGTTAGTAAACAATGGTAAAGTTCTTATAAAAATACTCTCCATATACTTCAAGATTAATCCAATGAATGCTCACATCTAACATATGATAACCATGATCATGTATCAAACTAAAGTGTTGAAAAGATCTTGAAAATTATTTTTTACAAAAGGTCTATGCACATTCTAATATGCTGTATCTAATACAATTTTTTCAAATTACACCATACACATACATATTATTCTAACCTTATTTATTTGCAAAGTATAGGAAGGAAAGTTACTGTTGAATTGTTATGTTTACAACAATGTACTCTCACAAAATACTGCAAAGTAATCAAAGCTAAATGAAATCACACTGACTCTACGTTTTACCACATATTTTGGCCACAATGCACTAAGATGGCAGTAAAGATAATTCCATCCTTAACGGTTAGTTGCAAGAATAAATGAGACCAAGAGATACTGACGTGCTATTGACTTAATCTTTGTATATCAGCTGTGACATTGCATGTTTATGTACACTACCCAGATGAACTGTAGCACTTGTGGCTCAGTATAAGATGATCAGCAAAAACAATACTGAATCTCTGGAGGATAGAAGTTGTGGTTTGTTAACTACAACAAAGATTGAAATCCAAAAGGATAACAGTTGACTAAGACTTGGATGAATGACTATAAAAGTTAGCAATACTGATGAACTAACTTCTAAGCTTTTGGTATATAACTAACATTGGAAGGAATCAGTAAACCCACAACTCCTACGTAAACTGGTAAGTACAAATGTGACAGAAAACAGAAATATAACACTAACAAAATATGTTTAAGCCATGAGTGGATAACTGAGCGACAACTCTTCAGAACTGAAGCATGCATTTACATTTGATCTGCAAATACAAGATTAACAAAAATCAGGACTGTAGCATCCATGTCCAAGAAATTAAAGAAATGGCAGAAGGTTGTTTGTTTTTTTTTTAAACCACATTCATACATGAAAGTTATTTTTAGTCAAGCTAGTTCCATAGGCTGTGCATTGATGGGGATCAGAGGAAATAAAATATATGTAAATATTTTTTAACTATACATAGTAATTACCCATACTGGAATAAGATGACTTTTCAAAACTATATATAAACCTTGAATGAACAGGTTCAGAATCCTGTTGAATATGTATTATAGTACAAGTGATTAATCACTAGACTGATTAGCTGGAAATACCTAAAACAAGAAGATCTATGGCTCCAAAGATTTAATTTTTTAAGGGAATAATGTGTAAAGATTAGTAAGTAACAAAGAAAAGAAAAATGAGACTATTCTTATTTAGTTCATCTGATATATGTTAGCAGTCATTTACTACATAGAAGTAAGAGAAGTATCTTAAACTTTAATATATAAAACTTGTACTCACCACACATATAGTACAACATCACATTGAAAACTAATTGAAACACGGTGTTAATAACTTCCAGTAAAGTAGGAGACTTTGGGTACTTGAAGAATGGCCTCAGGGCATAGAAAAATGGTTGAAGAACAACCCAGATGCATTTGGTAAAAGTTGTGCAGAAAAGCCTAGCTTCTAAGCGAGAAGGAATATCTGTATCTAAAATCTCGTCTCCCTATCAACAGAAGATTTTTTCAGAATTCCTCTTTAAGATAAATATTAATAATGTACACTCAATGAAGCAGACACACACACAAAATCAATCTCTCAAAGGAAGCATACATTTCAAACTTATCACTGAATACAGCTGTTGTATGACAAATTTTAAATAGATACTTGATTACTAATACATTTTTTAAATATTTAAACTAATATAGTAAAGAGAATTATTTGACATGCTTACATTACAAACCTTATTCTCAAAGCTTTGACTGAAAAACATGCAATCTTCATTCATTTTTACAAGTAAAGATATCAGTATCGCCCCGAATCATAACATACATAATGTTCAAACACTGCGATTAGTATGTTCAGTTACTAAATGTTAATGAGCATGTTCTATTTTTAGAAATTAGAAATTGCCAATTATGTTTAGACTAAAAGTTAATTGTACAAGAAAGCATTTGTCAATCAAAAACCTAGGAAGTACAAAGGTTAATGATCATCATAAATGACTAATAGAGCACATGAGTAAGATAAGATGTTCGAAAGGCAAAAGAAGAATTAAGTGATAACATACCTAAACTATGAAATAACTTGTTTAAAAATAAAGTTTGTAGATGGGAATAAAAAGTGGAAATGAACAGCAACAACTCCACAAGAGGAACTTCACTTTGAAGAATGTATGAATGATTAATGAAATATTAGTTTGTATATCTGGAACTTAAGATGACAAAACAGCTGCATTTAACAAGTATTTCATATACCTGATATCTGTGATGTTCCAAGTGATACTTCTTGAAGGACACAGACATTGGAATTCCAATTGGAAGATTGGCAAATATTCCAAAGATACGATTAGTCAGTGGTCTAGCATGTCCAAATGCCAAGTTGTGGGATATTTCATGAATGGCCAACATCAAGGAATGATTTATTACACCACCAAAGCAATAGGCTATAATAAGAATGGTTACCCAGGAAGCATCCTTGAGCAACCAGAACATCAAGAACTGTGTCAGAATCATTGCAAGTACCACGTACTTAAAAACAGGGTCATATCCCATCAAATTCTTTATCTCAGGGTATTTCTCTGTAAAAAAGAAAAACAAGAAACAGGTTTTTACTTAAAATTACAGAAAATGTAGAAAAATATTTTTAAAATAAATATAAGAAGTGTGACAAACTGTGTGTCAGATTCTAATCAATATACATTTGTTACTTACAATGGTAAAAGCAACATCGTGTAGGCTCAGCATGACCAGGCATTCGTCCCTTTCAACCGTGGGGGAATTATAATGTGATGAATAGCTGCCTTCCCTCTTTAGTCTTTCACTGCTAAATTAGGAATGGCTAGCGCAGATCGACCACGTGTAGCTTTGCGCAAAATTCAAAACAAACAAAACATTGTGTACGATTCACACTTTCATTCCATAGAACTATGTTGCAACTCAAAAAGGTAACAACTGATAAAAAAAAATGTTGCATGATCTTGCATGTCCATAGAAGGGATACAACATATATAAATTACAAACAATTATTTTTACAACGATCTAAACCACAATCACAAATTTATAGAATGTAATCTTACAGATAAATGTATAAAGCTACCAAATTAGGAACTGCATTTTTATAAGTTTATGATTGTTGGTTGG